TCCTTCTCCTCCTGAGGTGGCAGGCAGATATAGTAAGCAACAACCAGGAGACACATGTTTTTAAAGTCTCTTCCTCAGTCCCCTTCCTCCTCTTACCTGACTTGGGAGGGGGAGAGTAGCAGCAGGATTTCCTCCTCCTCCTTCTGAGGTGGCAGGCAGATGTAGTATTGTTGCTGGGGGGAGGGGCTCCCAAACGACGATCCAGGAGACATGGTGGAAATCTGTCTTCCTGGCTGCCCCTCTTCACTCTGGCTTCAGAGTGTCAGTTAGTGCTGAGAGGAGGTGCTCCCAAGGGGCTCCTAGATCATCATCCAGGAGACATGGTGGAAACCTGTCTTCCTGGCTCCTCCTCTTCACTCTGNATGACCCAGGAGACATGGTGGAAATCTGTCTTCCTGGCTGCCCCTCTTCACTCTGGCTTCAGAGTATCAGTGAACAGCTCCCCAAAGGCAAATAGATTAGATCTTATTGGTAATTTCAACTATAGTTGTTATTGCATGCCTTCAAGTTTGCTTCTGACCTATGGAGAACATATCAGGGGGCTTTGTTGGCTAGATTTCTTCTGACGAGGCTCACCATTATCATCTTCTGAAGACAAGAGTTTGTGATTTGCCCAAGATCGCCCAATGAGTTTCCAGAGCTGAATAGGAATTCAGATTCAGTTTTCCCAGAATCTTAGTATAATATCCAAACCACTAAATTGTAAAATTTCTCTCCACTCAATGGAACTTAGTATTGACTTGATACATTCAAAGACAATACAATTCATGCCAACTGGTTCCAAGGATCAGAAAATCCTCATTCAGAACTTTTGATCCTTTGAGGCAACAAAAGGTCATTGACCCAGGTGTCCCAAATTGATATTGTAGAAACTTCCAAAAAATTCATTGCCACAGTCCAGACTGTATGACCCAAACCTTCATAGAAGGACCACATGTTTTGCAAGAGGGAAATGTGTGTTTTGCAAGAGGGAAATGAATCCTTTGAGAATGGTTGCTGGAGAAGCTTAACGTGGATCATTAGACTATATTGTTGTTCTGAAACCATCATAATAGCTTGGAGATTATTCAAGCAGCCATGGTTCTAAGGAAAGTCTTGTCCAAATTTTTCTAAATGTTACCTAATCAAGGACATTGAGGAAGTACCAAAGTGATACATCTTTCCTATTTCCATTGATGATGTCAAAGGCAGCAGCCAGCAGTTGCCTATTTGTATCAATTGTTTCCTCATTTGCTATCTCTGGGCTTTTTTGTTTGCTCTTGGAAGAGGATCAGCTGAGGGGAAGCTTGGCAGGAAGACTTCCATCAGGTTTCTATGGAAACAGTTAGATCTCCAGCAAGTTCTCTCAAGGATGCAAGCTGTGGAGGCCTCCTCATAAAATGCTGCACTGGCATGCCTTTGAACCATGTCCCTAGACACCAGCAGATCCTGGTAATGGTTCCCTAGGTGACCATTCACCCCACACAGCAGATATCAGTGGGCATGTTAGAAAAGCTGAGCTACACATTCCAACCTCCTAGCTGCCAGAAATGAAATCCAAAATAAGCAAGATGATCACAACAAAATACTTGGGTCCCTGGAGGTGGACATGTCATATTGTACTTCTCAAGGGAGGAAGCTTTGGAAGATGCATTCTTGTTACTTTATAAAGGTCACCCAGGGACTTGAAGTTCAGTATTTGACTGCTTATTTCTAAGCAATTTCCAAAACTAATGTCATAGTTGTGCATGCAGAGCTATGCTACCGCAGGCCACTCAACTCCCACATGGACTTACTGTTGAAGCCCACTCTCCATAGGCATTCATGGAGATTAGATGGAAAATTGGATGGGAGACTGAAAATTCATCTGACTATGTTCTCAGAGTCAGCTGTTGAGTTCTACTGGGGTTCTCCTGAGGTCTCAGTGGATGATATAATCATTCTACACCAGATCATGGTGACATACCCAGATGTTTCTCCAGTTCTTCTCACTGGCTATGGAGGAAAGCATGGTCCTGTTTGCACTAAAGCTAAGCATTAAGCCTAGAGAAAGTGTTGACTTTCATCATTGAGTAGGGTGGAAAAGAAAGCCAACCTCCACAACAAGCTAGGAAAAACATAGGCAGACATAAAGTAGACTTAATACCCATTCATGGCACTAACATGTCCATTTATGTGTGGATGGACAAACCCACAAAATCCTTTTTACACCTAGGTTCTCTTTCCATTCCCACTTAGCTGCTTTTGTGAGGATGCTATTCTTCTATATAGAGCAAACAAGCAGTGTATATTCTTGTGCACATTGTCAAATGTTAGTGGATGTGTACTATCAATGAGGAATATTTTGGTGCATTGGAGAAATGTATAGGTGTGTTTTACAAATGTGCACATGACAACCCCTTTTATTTTTCTTGAATGATTTGCATTACAATGTCAGAAATGTTTGTGTTTCGGGAAGAAAATGTTATCTATTCCTGTATTGGTCCAATGGATGTGAATTGGCTAAATTCATATAAAATACAAAAATGAAGGCACACATTGCTTGCATATCACTGTTTACATCTGTGACATCTCTGCATTGTCGAAGGCTTTCATGGCCGGAATCACTGGGTTGTTGTAGGGTTTTTTTGGGGGGGGCTATATGGCCATGGTCTAGAGGCATTCTCTCCTGACATTTTGCCTGCATCTATGGCAAGCATCCTCAGAGGTAGTGAGGTCTGTTGTAACTAGGAAAAGGGATTTATATATCTGTGGAATGACCAGGGTTGGACAAAGGACTCTTGTCTGCTGGAGCTAGGTGTGAATGTTTCAACTGACCACCTTGATTAGCATATAATGGCCTGACAGTGCCTAGAGCAAACTTTTGTTAAGAGGTGATTTTTCTAGTTCCAACAGACCTCACTAACTCTGAGGATGCTTGCCATAGATGCAGGCCATATAGCCCGAAAAAAACTACAACAACATCTGCAACATCTCTGCATATCAAAATGATTCTCCTCTCCGTTGTTTCTCCTAATTTTCCTTCTCATTTCAAGCTCTGCTTTTAGCTTTGGCCTTCTTCTGGTCTACCTAGATAATTCACATCCATCTTCCATTTCTGATACCTGTAAATTTTTACCTGTCATGTTGGCATATAATCAGACTCTGAAGGAAATATCCACAAAAGTAGCTATTTTCGAGGAAATCTATTTCTTTTTTCTTTTTTTGGTCTCTGACTCACTCTTTCCACTAAAGTAACACATAAAAGCCATTCGCAGCTAGAATCAGGCTAAACGTTTGCAGGAAATAATTTATTAGATGCACTTCGACCTTCTTTCCTTTCTGCTAAGTCACGGATTCCCAATATTAAAAATTTGTTCATGATTTGAAGTCACCCCGGGAGCCTTTTATTCATCCTTAGATCAACTCTGGGGTTGATCAAGGATTACTGCTTTGCTTTCGAGTGGACCTCAAGCTGCTTGTGTTCATAATGCATGAGATGCAAGTGGTCCTCAAAGTCAAATGATACTTTTTTCTCCTCCTCTTTAGATCCCACAATATGTTCCATTAGCCAAGAAGAAGAGCCAGTTCAATACGACCCGTATAGCACAATGCTCCTCTTTCTAGAGAAGTGAAATTCAGATCCATCTGTAAAAATGGGAATGCATTTCTCGTGTATTTGAAATAGGTTCGTCACATGCTGAAGAGCTTTCTTTACAATGAAATATGCCAAAGATAATTTAGCAAAACAAAGCAGATAGACAACACTGAGCAACACCATTGAACTTTCTAACTTGAGGGCCTCATGGTGAGCCAAAGCAGGATGGGAGGGCTGGGAGGGCTGGGAGGGGGTTCTCCCCAAGCCTTCTCCCTGCCCTTTCCTCCACTGCACCACCTGACATCCGCCAGGAAGTAGCAGCCAATAGTGAAAGGACCAAGGCAGAGACATCTCCAGCT